CGAGGTACCTGGCTAGCTAGCCAGCTAGCTGGCTAGCTAGCCAGCTAGCTGGCTAGCTGGCTGGCTAGCTGGGTAGCTGACGGGGTAGTTGGGTGTTTCGTGGCTCGCAGCGCTTCTCAGCTTCTCCGGTTTGCTGGCTCCCGGCTGCCTAGCCCCCTCGCTGGCCAGCTAGCTAGCCAGCTAGCTAGCCAGCCAGCTAGCTAGCCAGCTAGCTAGCTAGCTAGCCAGCTGTTTTGCATGCGTTTCAGGCAATGCCCGGAGACCGCTTGAACGTGGAGGTGCAGCTGGAGCAGCCGCTGGCGCTGCAGCCGCAGCTGCGCTTTGCGCTGCGGGAGGGAGGCAAGACTGTTGCTGCGGGATTGGTCACCGAAATCCTCGATTGAAGGCCCTTTTCCCGACAAAACGGAGGCTTTTTGGGGGTTTTGAGAGGGTTTTGAAAGAGTTTTGAAGGGGTTTGGAAGGGGGTTTGAAGGGGGTTTTTAAGGGGTTTAAAACGGGGTTGGAAAGGGGAAAAAAGGGGAATATGCGGACTCAAGGAGACCCTCGGGGCCCCAAAGGGGTCCCACAGAGGGGCCCCTTGGGGGCCCTCAACGGGGTCCCCAAGCGGCCCTTGGGGGCCCTTTTGGGGGCCCCTTTGGGGGCCCCCAAGGGGACTTTGTGGGGACTTGAAAGGGGATTTAGAAGGATATTAGAAGGAAATTATTAAGGACAAAAAGGGGATTGAAGTGGACTTGGAGGAAGAGAAAAGAGAGAAGAAGGAAAGACAGAAGACAAACATGCTACACGGAGGAGAGAAGCAGCAGCAGCAGCAGCAGCAGCAGCAGCAGCAGCAGCAGGGGAAGAAAGGAGACTCTGGCAGCTGCAGCAGCAGCAGAAATAGCAGCAGCAGCAGACGAAAAAGGAGACATAGGAAGAGACAAACGGAGAGACTGAGGAGCCTTTAAAAGGAAGAAACTAAAAGAGACAAAAGGAGAAAAACACGAGAGGAGTCTGCAGACAAAAAAGAATTTTGAATTTAAATTCGGAAAATAAATTGAATAAATTTGTAAAATAAGTTGAAGAGAAGAGACACTCAGCGAGAAGCAGCAGCAGAAAAGAGACAGCAGCAAAAGGGACAACGGGAGCAGCACAACAGAAGCAGCTGGGAAAGAGAAGCAGAAAAGCAGAACACACATCGAAGGTTGGAGAAATTAAACAAAAATAAAAATAAAAATAAAAATAAAAAGCGATTAAAAAGTATTTCAGGGAGCAAGGCAGAGACAAGGAAGAAAAAGAAGACTCAAAGAGGAGACAGGCGT